CCAAACAGCGAGTGATTGTAATATGGTAGCGACACCTCACACCACCACGTAAGTCAAATATTAATTGAGATTAAGTCTTAACATCCGTTTATGGATAACATTCACAATCCACTGCAGAGCAGTTTCCATAACAATAACATAGCTCTTTATTTAAACTACTCTCATACCCCCATACCGCTCTTTGTTTAAAACTATTTTTGCTCGTGCTAAATTACGTGGCAATTGTGCAAAACTGCCCGCATATTTAGAAAGTCTGCCCAAGCCAAATTTGCTTCTGAAGGGTTCCTAGAACCGTTCTAGGTCTCAAACCCTGGGGCGGAAGATGTGTTTACGGGAATTTTCTCAGATCCTTGATGGTATATTAACCATATTACCATTTTCAGGTCGCAGTCAGATACCCTGTTGGAACTATTTATCCAAACTCTCCTTTACTGTTTACAGTAGGATTATCAAGGATACAGCAGATGAAGAGAATGAAGAAACCCGAAACCCATCTATTAATATTTCAAATAGTTTCCCTTAAAAATAATAAAACATAAAATAACATTAACAATAGTAGTCCAATTTTTGCGACCCAAAATATTCCTGTTTTAGTTGTTTCCAAGAAATTTTACTACAATCAACAATCTGACAGCCGCTCGGAAATGAGTTCAATGCAAATCGAAGCCAAAATCCAATGCATTATGGGTTTGGGAGCAAAATTTTCCAACTACATGACATCGCAGCGAATTTGAAACCTTAGTAATTCATAATTGCCAAAACAATGAAAAACAAGTACTCTGGCCAATATAATAATAATGCACTGTCACTGTGTTCGTTACCCGGCAGGCGGCACCAGTTTATTCAAGGTAGGCGTTCAATCCAAATGTGATATCATTTGAATTCTGCTGTCATCTGCCTTGCAGGAACCAGTTAATAAAGCAAATAATTTCGTTTACGATGTGACGTGTCTTTGTTGAGTGTAAACACACAACAGCATTCTCTAGCTCGATGTAAAATTAACATTTTTTATAACATGCAGAACGAGCTCTTTCTGTTCGGATATATAGATCAGAACATATTCTACCGAATAGGTATGAGATAATCCACTTGAGAGCTGCAGCGAAAACTTTATAGTATGAAAAGTATATTTTTCAGCACTTATTCCTGCTCGGCGTGAGAAAATTTGCCCTGTACCGTTCAAATCGTGGTGCGTTTCTATAATAGTAATGACTGGCATTGTTTACTTTGTTTTAATAAAATTATAAGAGTGTCTTATGCCGTGACTGGCATACAATTTGGAAGTACAATATCCTGTCTACATATTTCAATATCTTTCACATTCTATGTACTTGTAGCACCCTACAATTTATAGTGAGTAAGCTCGTTTACTGTTACAATATGCAATGAGTATCACTTGATAGAGACAGACAGACAGACAGGGTATCACTTGCTTGATAGAGTATCGCTTGCTACGTCACTCCTCGCATTCGACAATAGCGTTTCTCTTCCTAATATAATGTAGGAAGCTGATATACGCGCTGTGATTGGACGAAATAACGTGCACTCATTGGTCAGATATTTAATTGATGAACCAATGGACGCGGCGATCTCAATTACAGTCTCTTAACTTTTTTTCCGTACTATAGTACTCAGTGCTATATAATAATATAGTGATATGTATGGTTATTCACTTGAGAGCGCTGGTCATTTCCAGGTAAATAAGCGTCATATTATTATTCCCAATCAATTCGGGTATACTGTATACTTATAGTTGGACGTTATCAGACAGTTATCAAAAAATTATAGTTTCACCCATTATCATGGTGAACGATTAAAATCGAAAGTTTATTTGGGCAGCTCGTCAGCTCGGAAACACTGAAAAGTATAGTAAAACGCGTGTTGTTGAAGAAGATGACCACAGTTCTTCTTGAGTTCTAGTGAAGCTACATGTCCAATGCTGTGAACAATCTTGTGGGTGTCTTTGTTTTCGTCATAACACCTTTTACTTAGATTTAGTCATCAATTTAGAATCATGAACAGGAAATATCGAAATAAGTTAAACTCTGGGAATCAGAAAAAAAAAACTAAAATAAGAAAATACTATCACAGCCACACATACTTGAAAAAACACATTAAATATAATCGAAAAAGGTGAGAATTATAATCGATTTAATAGAGTAACATGACTAGAGTAACATTCAACGAAATAGCACAGCAAATCTTCAACTTCAAACTTTTTTAAAAGTTTACCATTTTCTAATTGAAATGCTCTTCTATCGAAATATATTAGTAAAATACCCAGAGATAACTAGCAGAAAACCAATAATTATCTAGTTAAAAGCTTTTGAGAATGTATGTACATTTGGAAAAAACTTTGAAAATAAAATAACCAAATCTTAAATCTATAAATCCAAAAGATAAGTTCATCAGCTCTAAGTCAGTGGTTCAAAAACCGTGAAGAATAGTTCGGTACGATTCGAATTGAGAATGCTAATTATTTTTGCATGTATAAACTGTCGAATAACATAACATATAGTATTCATCATATTTCTGCAGTAATCGTAGAGGGGTAGGTTCACAGTTGTACATTGTTTTCTCTTTCCTCTCTGCACAAACATCCCACGAATTTGCCCCACAAGGTTTTAACGTGTAATCTCATCTCCTTCTTTCTGGTAAGATAGACCACTGGGTTGCAGGCAGAATTAAGAGGAATAAGGATGAACTCAGATATCCAATCCAGTCCTGTCATTTGTCCTTTCATTTGCGGAGAGCTCCATGAAAATCCTTTTCCCGCACTATTAAGGATCCCCCTACTAATAAGGATCAGAAAACCGACATTGCAGACACAGTAGATTACTGATAAAATACCCACTGTAACTGCAGCTTTTCTCTTCCATTTCTCTGTTTGTGACGATTTTGAAAGAAATAGCTTTCCCAAGGTGATAACGTTCAGTAAAACCATAATCACAAAAAACCAGCTAGTATACGTATTTGCATATCATCTAAGGAATATCCAAGGCCAAATAATTCGAATTGTATAATTACTGTTGTCAAGGCAATGATTACAGTATAAATTCCAGATGAGAATTTAACCGCCGTCCAATTTATAATGTGAAGGGGGAATATCAAATGTATTGCCCTCACAGCTGCAAGTAAACAAGTTAAGTAACCAGATGCTAACACCGATGGTCTTATACAGGCTCTGAAGAAAGATGGCACAAACACACAGACGAATAGATCACATGTGTTCAAAACTGCAAACAATTTTGTAGTGGGATTGTCCGAGTTTCTCGTTAACCTATTTGCTCTGATTTTACTGATGAAGTGCGATAGAGACAAAGTGTTTGTAATTGTCCCGAATATCGCTATCACTACCATAAGAATTGTTGCCGCCATTTTGATATCGTCGCGAGAATATTCGGTTACGGATCGGTTAGCCAGGTCAGTTGCGATGTTTGTGTCCATGTTGCAGTTTTCACAGTTTTTTGATATGCTGCACAAACTGCTGTGATAATATTGTGTCTTGACCTGTTAAGAGTTTAAATTAGCTTAATTTTGTTAAACTATCATTTTAGCCAGCCAAATATGAGCGTATAAAATGAAATCAACGGGGGAAATCACGTGCATCAACACAATGGAATTGGAAGGATAATCAGAAAGAAACATGATTACATGAGATGAGATGGATTGAAATGACATAAAATATACCATTTTATCCCGCTTATACTAACTAATGGAGAGCATTGTTGATAATAGCTCTCACAGGGCATGACATATCAGAAACCTTCATAGAAACGGGGAGCAAGCTCTGGCAAACTGTTCCACTATAAGGCATCTAACTTTCTAGCTATTGTGTAGAAATTATAGTAAGTTTTCCAAACCGGCTCCCCGGGGGGTTTCCAATGGTGAAAAATTGTGCAGTTTTACAATTTGGAAACCCGATTCACCAATCACCATAAGAATCATTCACTATTTCTCACTATTTTCTCACCATTGCTCCCCTAGGCTTGCATTATTTGTCAAAGAGGCCTTTAATTCTGTACGATACAGAGCGAAAATTCTATCCTAGGACTAGTTTAAACCTTTTAAAATTGCATTGAAGTTTAGTTAGACAAATGAAAAAGTTCTAAATATATAGTGTAATTCTGTACGATACAGAGATGAGTTCAAACTATCTGAATGATTATCGTTTAAGTTATTTAAACGTCATCATACCTTTTACCTTACTTAACATACTTGAAAAGCACATTAAATATAATTTAAAACATCACGTGTTGTCTCAAGTAAACGATAACATCGTTTGATCAAACAATACTTGCGATGCGAATTAATTGTGTATATTCATTATTCAATAGGCTACGATCAGTACGTAACCTATTTAATAGTAAATAAAAGTCGGTGTCTCCTTCTGACTAGACTAGAGCAACATTAAACGAGATATCACAGCAAATCTTCAACTTCCAAATAGTTAAATATCGGTATTACAGTGACACTGACAGACTTCTCAAAATTTCCAAAACTTTGGGAAAAAATAATAATTTTTTTTTCGAATGTGCGTACTCTCAAAAATAATTTTTAATGTATCAAATCTTATTGTTTTTATATATACTTTCTTAATTTGAAGTTAACAACAGGGTCACGGCATAAAAGCCTTTGGTGTATATCCCCTTAAGATAGCGATAGCGAACTTATTGACACAGTTAGCGAAGTTATGCAAACACTGGACAGAAACCGAAGATATTCTTTGAAGTGTGCAGAAATGGCAGGAAATCTAAGAAATATCAGGACAATGCAGTTCCCGCCCGTCAAAGTGAAAGTATTAAGCTCAGCTTGTTTAGTTCCCAGCACCAAGAATCTGCGGATAACAGAGAAGTTTAGAACTGTTTCCGTCTGTCCAGATCGATTTCCTGAAAAAACGTCAGATCCAAAGAAACTTATCGTCAAGAAAATGAACAATAGAGCGGCAGAAGCTATAGGAGAAGAACAAAGTGTTTTTCATAAGTGCTAGTAAAATTCATTGTAAAGATAAGACTGCAGCTAAGGGGTAACTGAGTTTTAAATATTTTTGAAACGAATTGATTGTTTCGAGATGACTTTGCACTGGCTTGTATTTTTGCAACATGTTTTTACGTACAGTTTTGCTTTTTAGGTTGAATATACAGGACTGAGCAGTCCTCAGGAGCCTACATAGCAATTTTTGGACATATTACCTGATTTATATTCACATTTATCGTTAATTAGTTAGGTAGATGTAAGGATTTGACAGCATCAGCCGAGATGCAGTTATAATTAAACCGAGTGGAATAGAGGAAGTGGAACCTGTTTCGTCGTACAAGAGATGTGTGTGATGCCACTCAAACAACTAGGGGATACTTCTTCGTGAATGTTTGTGCAGGAATATCACGTGATCGTGCTTGTATCTAATGTGAGAGCGAGCAGCGGTCATGTGGGTGTCATGTGCCACAACACAGATATATCCGTGTTTACATGACTGACTTATTTGAACTTACATATACGTCTTACATGTAAAAGTGCATAAAATGTATCTTTCCCTGGGATTTCGAGCAGCTGCGACCATGTGACATTAAGAGAGCCATTAAGAGAGAAGAGTGACTGGTCAGGTGATCTCACGAGGTAATGCTGCTATATAATCAGAAGAGCAGAGGAGAGAAGCACAGTTTATAGCAAACACACAAATTTCAATTCCTCTGGTTGATCTTGATCCAACACTTATCTAACCATGGATGATGTCGATGATTTCATGGATGAGGATTCTCAGGATGTAGCTGCCCTGGTCGTGGACAATGGGTCTGGTATGGTAAAGGCCGGCTTTGCCGGAGATGACGCTCCCCGAGCTGTCTTTCCTTCCATTGTTGGACGACCCAAACATCAAGGTGTCATGGTCGGCATGGCACAGAAAGACTCCTACGTCGGAGACGAAGTCCAGAGCAAGAGAAGTATCCTCATGCTGAAGTACCCCATAGAGCATGGAATTGTCACCAACTGGGATGATATGGAGAAGATCTGGCATCACACCTTCTACAACGAGCTGAGAGTTGCCCCAGAGGACCACCCCATCCTGCTGACTGAAGCTCCCATGAACCCCAAAGCCAACAGAGAGAAGATGACCCAGATCATGTTTGAGACCTTCAACACACCCGCCATGTACGTCGCTGTCCAGGCTGTCCTGTCCCTGTTCGCTTCTGGCCGAGGCACTGGTGTCGTCCTGGATTCTGGAGATAGTGTCTCTCACACAGTCCCTATCTATGAAGGTAATGCGCTCCCCCACGCTATCCTCCGTATTGATCTTGCTGGACGTGATCTTACCGGATATCTTATAAAGATCCTGACCGAGAGAGGTTATGCTTTTACCGCCCCTGTCGAGAGGGAAATCGTCATTGATGTGAAGGAGAAGCTTTGCTACGTCGCCATGGACTTTGAGCAGGAGATGCAGATTGCTGCCAGCTCCAGTTCTCTCAGGAAGTCCTACGAACTTCCTGACGGACAGGTCATCACCATTGGAAACGATCGATTCAGGTGCCCAGAGGCCCTCTTCCAGCCTTCAGTGCTCGGTATGGAATCTGACGGTATAGACGTGACTTGCTACAAATCTATTATGAAGTGCGATGTTGACATCAGGAAGGATTTGTACGCCAACATTGTTCTCTCCGGAGGAACCACCATGTTCCCAGGAATCGCTGACAGGATGCAGAAGGAAATCACCGCCCTGGCTCCACCCACCATGAAGATCAAGATCATTGCTCCCCTAGATAGAAAACACTCCGTCTGGATTGGAGGATCTATCCTTGCTTCTATGTCCACCTTCCAGCAGATGTGGATCTCCAATGAGGAGTATGAAGAATCTGGACCCGGGATTGTCCACAGGAAATGCACCCAAGTCTAAGGACAGGCCGAATGATTTATTGCACTGCAGTTGGACAGTTTTAGGTTTTTGGAGTGGATGTTTTATTTCTTACATGATTTTTTTCTATCTATTTTGTAATTTTAACGATTGTTGATAAATGTACTTGCAATGAATGGGTATCTTATTTATTATTGGAACAGCGTTATCACCCTGACAATTGACAGGTCGTGCAGCCGTCCACAGGACAGACCGAATGATTTATTGGACCGTAGTTGGACATTTTAGGCTTTTGGACTTTGGAGTGGATGTTTTATTTCTGAGTCTTACATGATTTTTTCCATCTGTTTTGTCATTTTAACAATTGTTGCTAAATGTACTTGCAATAAATGGGTAAAAACTTTTTTATTTTATTTTATTTCTATCGATCGAAACTGATCAGCAAACTACATAATCTAATTATCTTATTCATATTGGAATAGCGTTATCGCCTGACAATTGACAATTGACATGGCACAACTGCACGTGGTTAATTAATAATTATATGAAATTATCTTGAAATCACTGGGTTCAGATCTCGTTGTAGAATTGCTTTATTAAAAGGAGTACGGACAGATCTGTCTAAAAAAGGAGTACAGACAGATCTGTCTAAAAAAATCGATCTACCGACACAAGAAGCTTCCGTCCCATTAGGTGCCTTTTCCACGTGTCTTAAGGTCACTTTTTGCCACTTTTACCACTTTTTACCACCTCTCTTGTTTTTCGACTATCTTTAGTTGTGAACATCGTAAAAGGTTGCGGATTAATCGAGGGTGTTCATCTTAAATTTCGAAAATTCTACATATTTTTTAATACTAAAATCGCCAATGTTTGTAGTTGGAGTTCAGTAAATCTCGGCAGATTTTAGTAATCAGGAATTACTAAAGTGGATTGGTCTGAAACTGAAAAACGTTAACCACACGATATTAGGGCCTTATCGATTTTCATAGAAACTGCACCAAAGGCACATTCAAAATCGAACCGATACTGTGATAGCCTGCTGTACTTTCATTTTATGGATTTCCACAATTAATCAGTGGGGTTAAGATATATTCACATTTGTAATAAATAAAACCTCTCTGTACCGTCAATCGTGCTAATCTAAACCGTTGCTGGTTTGTATTTTTGCAGCATGATTTTACGTACAGTTTTTCTTTTTTGGTTGATGATACAGGACTGAGCAGTCCTCGGGAGCCTACATAGCATCTTTTGGATTCACATAGCCATGTTTATTGTGTATAGTTATACGCGTACTGCGGTCGCGCGCTACTGCAAGCGAGAGGGCTCTGGTTAGAGCAATCTTTTGGACATATTACCTGATTTATAATCACATTTATCGTTAATTAGTTATGTAGATGTAAGTATTTGACAGCATCACCCGAGATGCAGTACGACAGTTATAATTAAACCGAGTGGAATGAAGGAAGTGGAACCTGTTACGTCGTACAAGAGATGTGTGTGATGCCACTCAAACAACTAGGGGATACTTCTTCGTGAATGTTTGTGCAGGAATATCACGTGATCGTGCTTGTATCTAATGTGAGAGCGAGCAGCGGTCATGTGGGTGTCATGTGCCACAACACAGATATATCCGTGTTTACATGACTTACTTAATTGAACTTACATGTAGGTCGCTTCCTCGAATCCTCGCGTCCATATATGGTTAAAAAAGTGCATAAAATGTATCTTTCACTGGGATCGCGAGCAGCTGCGACCATGTGACATTAAGAGAGCCATTAGGAGAGAAGACTGACTGGTCAGGTGATCTCACGAGGTAATGCTGCTATATAAACAGGAGAGCAGAGGAGAGAAGCACAGTTTATTGTACTTCCTCTGGTTGATCTTGATCCAACACTTATCTAACCATGGATGAGGAGGATGAAGCTGTCCTGGTTGTGGACAATGGGTCTGGTATGGTAAAGGCCGGCCTTGCCGGAGATGACGCTCCCCAAGCTGTCTTTCCTTCCATTGTTGGACGATCCAACATGGGACAGAAAGACTCCTACGTCGGAGACGAAGCCCAGAGCAAGAGCCGTATCCTCAGCCTGAAGTACCCCATCGAGCATGGAATTGTCACCAACTGGGATGATATGGAGAAGATCTGGCATCACACCTTTTACAACGAGCTGAAGGTTTCCCCAGAGGAACACCCCGTCATTCTGACCGAAGCTCCCATGAACCCCAAAGCCAACAGAGAGAAGATGACCCAGATCATGTTCGAGACCTTCAACACACCCGCCATGTACGTCGCTGTCCAGGCTGTCCTGTCCCTGTACGCTTCTGGCCGAGCCACTGGTGTCGTCCTGGATTCTGGAGATGGTGTCTCCCACACAGTTCCAATCTCTGAAGGTTATGCCCTCCCCCACGCCATCCTCCGTATTAATCTTGCTGGACGTGATCTTACCGAATATCTCATGAAGATCCTGGCCGAGAGAGGTTATGCTTTTACCACCACCGCCGAGAGGGAAATCGTCAGGGATATCAAGGAGAAGCTTTGCTACGTCGCCTTAGACTTTGACCAGGAGATGCAGACTGCTGCCAGCTCCAGCTCTCTCGAAAAGTCATACGAACTTCCTGACGGACAGGCCATTACCATTGGAAACGAGCGATTCAGGTGCCCAGAGGCCCTCTTCCAGCCTTCAGTGCTCGGTATGGAATCTGACGGTATAGACGTGACTTGCTACAACTCTATCATGAAGTGCGATGTTGACATCAGGAAGGATTTGTACGCCAACATTGTTCTCTCCGGAGGAACCACGATGTTCCCATCAATCGCTGACAGGATGGAGAAGGATATTACTGCCCTGGCTTCACCCACCATGAAGATTAAGATCATTGCACCTCCAGAGAGAAAATACTCCGTCTGGATTGGAGGATCTATCCTTGCTTCTCTGTCCACCTTCCAGGAGATGTGCATCTCCAAGGAGGAGTATGACGAATCTGGACCCGGGATTGTCCACAGGAAATGCACCTAAGTCTAAGGACAGGCCGAATGATTTATTGTACTGTAGTTGGACAGTTTCAGGTTTTTGGAGTGGATGTTTTATTTTTGAGTCTTACATGATTTTTTTCTATCTATTTTGTAATTTTAACGATTGTTTCTAAATGTACTTGCAATAAATGGGTATCTTATTTATTATTGGAATAGCGATATCACCCTGACAATTGACATGGCACATGGCTCGACCTCGTGTTGATATTGCCATGCCTACACGTGGTTTACTGGTTTCAGCGGACTAGGATAATAAAATAAAATTATCTTGAAATCACTGGGTAGGGTTCAGATGTCGTTTATAACATATAAAAGGAGGGATTACAATTTTAATATTCCCCTGCGACCTTAACACTTAGAATCCAAAATTAGGGCTCACAGCTCATTAGAGCTAGTAAATAGCCATGCCCATAGGACAGGTCACATGGCTGGTTGTTTATGCATGTGGGTACTTGTATCTTACCAAAATGCAAAAACCTTGGACTTCTCGGCATATCACTTGACCGTCACATGATGTTATCTCGTGGAGGTATTGTATCAGATCGAGCAGGCACAGGACCAATCTTTTGATCATGAATATGGTTGATGGTGATCTATAGTGATTTTGTGATTTAGTCCATAAATGCCAGGATCTTCCCCTTAACCCTTGTCATACGTTGTATGACCCGCCGCGCACGAAGTGCGCGGCTCCCCCTGTAGCGTCGAAGACGCTTTAGTGAAGCGACCGTGGGGTCACCGTGGGGGCGACCGTGGGGTCACCGTAGGGGCGACCGTGGGGGTCACCACGTGATACAACTTAACCCCTGGTTGGGGGAAACAACTCATGTCCATTTTAAAATTAATAGAGATAGTACGTGTTGGTACTTTTTTGGCTGGCTGGGTTTCAGCATTCAAGACTGCTGGATTAACCTTTTGTTTCGTCTAGAAACTCATATAGCGCTTTATTTTTGTTTTTCTTAACCTTGACGATATACATGATACACAATACTGGCTAACAGTCTCCACGACGTTCGAAATCCTGATTAACGCTATGTACCGGGCCTTCACCTAGTATAGCCATGAGTCTACGTGACGCGCTTGTTTCACAAGTAGAACTAAAATGTCCTGTGCCTCCTACCGCCTACGGCGGTCGCGCGCTACTGCAAGTGAGATCAGAGGGCTTTGGATAGAGCAATACCGGGCCGTGTAACCATATTTATATTGAAGTAAATTCATTCGAATATTCTAAAATTTACAATTAGAACTTATAGTAGAGGCTCTTACGGGCATTGTCTGCTCGATACGTTAGGGACCCCAGATACACCTTACTAGACGTATTTTTGACCGTAGAATCGATTGAAAGTGGTTTCAAGATGATTGGACTGATTGTTTACAATCTGCCGCACAAGATTGTATAAAAATAAAACAAATCCCTCTATTTGTTCTGAGGTAAAAATCCAAAAAAGTGGTAAAAATTTTGACTTTTTTGCTTGAAGTTTGAATAATTTTTTGCAGTTGTATTAAATCAACCCAAAAATAGTCACATCGTGTTTGCCTAAATTTTTCCTTTCCGAGAAGTACCCACTTTATATACTTTATCGAAGTTTGAATATTGTCACTCCGCAAGCGTTTTTGCCAAATTTTCGCCGCGCACTACGCGCAAAAGCATTTAGTTGTTATCAATTGGCACCCGCGCGTTCATCATAAATTTCAAACAGCTATAACTCAGCGAGATTATGTCCGTTCTAACTCATATTTTCACACTAAATAGAAAATAATGTAATCTTATTGATATGATATCACTGCCGAACAATAATCGGGTGATGCCTTACTGGGCCGCGCTCAGCCTGTTATTCCGTCTAATCTCTATTGTTTACCAACATTAAAGCCTGGGGTCCTCATATCAGGTAAGTGATGCCTTGTCATACGTTGTATGACCCGCTTTACCTGAGGACCCCAGGCTATTATGTTCATTAACATAATATAAAGATTTGGCGGAATGACAGGCTGAGCGCGGCCCAGTAAATCACTCCTATGACATATAATAAGGTTAAAATGCGCCCCTGACGAGATATTGGCGAAAAACTGTTTCGAACACGTGATAAGACTGTATATAATATAGGAAGTTAGTCTATTTCTCGTTAGGGTTCCGGTTATAAGGGTTTCAGCATATGCTTTTGCATTAAGCTTGAGGATTGGTTACGATTAGGGTTATAGTGGTTAGGGTTGGGATCGATCAGATTAAAGGGTTAGGGTTTCGAATAATCTTTCAGGACCATTTTGCAGCTAGAGAACGGGTTGAAAAGTCATATCACGTGACAGTCGAGTTTAAAGTGATTAATTATAATATAATCATCATTAATATAATTAATATAATCATCTGCATCATTCCGAGTTGACCTTGTAATTGTATCACGTTGTGACCCCCACGGTCGTCCTGACGATACAGGCAACAGGGGAGCCGCGCACTTCGTGCGCGGCGGGTCATACAACGTATGCATGACGAAGTTGACCATTGTTAATTGTCTGGCCCAGCGCGCGCTACTTCGTAGTACTTGCCATCTATCGGGCTAATATTTCGAGAAAAAAGCGGCGCGCGCTACTTTGAAGAAATAATTTGACCATTGTTAATGGTCTGGCCCTTACCTGAGGACCCCAGGCTATTATGTTCATTAACATAAATAATAAATATTTGGCGGAATGACAGGCTGAGCGCGGCCCAGTAATCTGGCCCTAATTCGTAGCACTTGCCGTCGTAACATTTCGAGAAGAAAGCGGCGCGCGCTACTTCGAAGAAATTTAGACGAGTAACATCCGTCAACATCCTGAGAAGCTCGAAAAGAGGGCCGCACGTCGCTCGTGCATTGGGATTGGACGGTCATTGTCATACGTTGTATGACCCGCCGCGCACGAAGTGCGCGGCTCCCCTTACCTGAGGACCCCAGGCTATTATGTTCATTAAGATTTGGCGGAATGACAGGCTGAGCGCGGCCCAGTAAGGCTCCCCCTGTATCGTCGAAGACGATACAGACGATACAGACGATACAGACGATACAAACGATACAGACGATACAGACGATACAGACGATACAGACGATACAGACGATACAGACGATACAGACGATACAGACGATACAGACGATACAGACGATACTATAGTGAAGCGACAGTGGGGGTCACCACGTGATACAAGACGGTCATGGGTTCACCTAGCCACGAGTCCACGCGTATATTAGCGTTGCATAGTTTTGCAAATATAATTTTTTAAACAAAATTTTACTATCTCATAATACCAAAATAACATTTTTGGAATAGTTCAAAAGAAATTGTTAAGTTTTTATTTTTGACGATCTGAGACAACAAAAAATCAATTAAAAAAAAGAACTTTGTTGATGTAAACAGTTTAGATTTGAATTTGGAGCCACAAGGCCAAGATTAATATTTAAATCATAAATGTTTCTCCCAATATTTGAGATAGGGAATATATTGATTTTTTGAAGGGTTGTTTTATATAGGGTCATTGTGACAATTATGTGTATATTGTTTGAATAATTTTACTATTGAATTAAAAATTAATAAAAAACAAAAAGTATTTTACCAAAAAAACGGATTTGATTAAGTGCGCCGAGCTTGGAGCTAGTACGTCGTTTACTTTTATTCATCTCCCCATTCAATGAAAGATCTCAAATCGATAAATTTTCGGAAGACATTTTACAGAATCAAATAAAAGTACATGGCTTTATATATATATATATATATATAATTTTATTGAGAGTACTTTATTGCACAGTTGGGGTGGATGATTTAATAATTACTTAAATTATC